AAACTCACGTATGATCCTTCTTGGAGATGGATGCGCACATCGAGACCGTAAGCAGGTTCGAAGAAGAAGAAGAAAACGAGGGTGGAAAGCAAAGGAATTGCGAAACGGGTGGCGTAGAATAGAAGGAAACAGAGAGGCGTAGAAACGAGGGAGGTTATACACGCGTGTAATGCAGCGTGGGGTGTAATTGCAGGTTCGGAAACGCGGACAGCCGCGTCAGCAAAGCGTACACGCGTATCCAACGGTGCTTATTGCCTTCATTGGTCACCGTTCGTGCTGGGAACAAAGCAGATGGGAATGCTTAACAGTTATTGGCCAGTGCTGGCCGTTTCTACGTCGCTGCTCGTCGAAGAAGGGCCTGGACTAGGTGGAGCAATTTATCGGAGGTTACATTTGAGGCTGGTCGGTCCTGTTGCGGCTGTCCCTATCGCGCGTACACGAGAAACTAGGGAGACGAAAGAAACAAGAGGGAAACGAGCGGATGGAATAGGTCAGGGGTGAAGCGTAGGGGTAAAGGCTGCCGTCACTTTCAATTAGATAATTGAAACGGGGGAAGGGACGAGGCCGCTAACGTGTTTTCCACACGTGTTCTCGCGGCCAGCCGAGGCCGCTGGAATTTTACAAAAGCGGCTTTAAGTTCACCCTCGTGCTGCCGTTGCTCGAAACGACAGGAGATGGGGACAGTAGTCGGCCGATTGCTTTTCCTATGAGATTCGATTGTTCCTCTTCCCTTGTCCACGTATTCGAGGCAACCGCGAACCGCCGTTCAACGGGCCATTGTTCGATCTTTGCTCTCCGATCGGACCGACGAGCGGATTCAATCCGGGATACCACGACCAGGAACGATTTCACTGTTCGATCGGAGAACTTCCTTTGTATATCCACGAGAGAAACGATATCGCGCAACGATATTTATCTCGATCCAAGGAAAGATTCTTTGCTCTTGCACGCAGGAGAAATATCGTTTCTTTCCTTCTCGTTTCGTTTCCCTTTCTTCATATTTTTATTTGGCTTCGGGACCGCCACACCCAAACGCGGACACAGCGAAGAGAATCAGTGAGGATCCAGCCCTCCCCTCAATACTAGATATAGCGGCCTCGCCACCAAAACCGCTGGGGCCGTCGGGAGCGGAGGCTCCGGGCACCCTTACACGTGGCCTGAGGGGAGGTCAACACCGCGAGCGTCGAGGGGTGCGAATCTACCTGTCGTACATAACTTTAACTTATTTCTTCAGTTTAATTAATTTCCTTCATTTATTTCTTAGCCTACTATATAAGTTTATAAAGGGGATGAAATGACCAAGGGGGTGGTCTGGGACCCTCAAAATCATGACCCCTCGAGAACAAAGGCATGCCCACTGGGTTCATGATTGCTTCTTTATTGCGATCGAACCGTTCCTTCGTTTGTCAAACCGGCCAACGGAAGGATAAGAAGAAGAAAAAGTGATAGAATTCCATTAGAACGTCTCACCGGCAAATGAAACGACGTGGCCCAGATACGCGATCCTCGATTAAATCGCGAGAGATCGCTGATAATTTGCGCTTGAAATAACGCGGCGCGCATTCCGTTCGCGCTTTTCTTCGAATTCCCCAGCTCCCGGGCTCTACCTAACGACATGCCAAGATTTTTGCAGAAGTAGGTACTTGTGACCTGCACACCCGAGACCCGGTCGGTTGGATTCGGTGATTGGAGCTGGAGAACGTCGAACGGGATGAAAGAGAGGAGAGAAAGAAACGACGTAGGGGAGAGAGAGAAGGAGAGAGGAGGAACGTGTACGATTGCATGGAGCTTCGAATGGAGAAAAGTTCGATCGACTTCCGTTTCATCGGTCAGCAATTCCATCCTGTCGAATTGTTTCCGCGACATAGTATTTCCCTGTCATAGTGAATTCCTTTGGTCGGTCGAATTCTATTCAGTCGCATAAATCGATCCTTTTAAATTTTCCTATCTCTTTTCGCCAACCAAAAGCGAGACAAAAAAAAAATGATGATACGTATTAGGTCATCCTAAAAATTCGTATCGTTTTTCATATCGATAGAGAGCTGAAAACGTTGCATATATCTTTGAATATTGGAGAGAAAATATATTCACCATCTTCTTTTACAATTTCTTCTCCATTCGCTTGTCGAATACATAATATCATCAGTGTACAGAACCTCATTGGTTTTTTCTTTTAAGATATTATTCTTTAGTGGAAATAAACGGAGAAGAGAGATCAACTAGGACAGCATTTTGATGACATAAACGAGAGACCAGATTTATCAAAGTCAAAGACAACAAAAGAATTAAATCAAGGTGGTCGACGTCGTAGTTTCACACCCGGCAAGATGTAGAAGGATATTGCAACCCGTACGAGGAGGCCTCGACGATTACAAGATGCTGAAGAGACCACGATGAAGAACAAAGAGGAACCGCGTGTGATTACACGCTAGCATGAAATACACGGTACGATCGGTTCTCATTTGAGAAGGCAGCAATTCCGCCGGAAGATTGTCTCATTGTTTCCCGGAGACCCAGTGCGACACTGGGTCAAGGGTTAGACATAGCTAGCGAAAGCAAAGCAAACAGAAGCGTGCTGCTGTTGGCTTCTATCGTTTGCTTTCGAACAAGGACAGAAACGATGATCGCGGAGATCATAAAGGGAACGTAGAGAGATACCGGAGAGTAAGACGGAGGGATGTTCTTTCCCTCGATTCTCTTTCCGTTTCTCCAGCCGCTGTTCAGGATATTAAATATTAATCCCGCGAAATTACCAGCGTGGCAGCAATCTTTCGCTCTCGTGGCGGCTCCTTTTTGTTACTGGCAATCTCTGACTCCACCGTCCACCTACACACACTGCGTGTACGTACACGTTGCTGGCGTACTAAGCAACGGAGAGTAATCTAGGCGGTGGATTAACCCGGGGCTCAAGATATCAGTCCGGGATTTACTGTAGCTCGCCTCGTCGCGTCGTTACGACTTCACCAGCTTTCCCTGGACGGACTATATTTCCGTCTTTGTACTTTCCGGGGTGCATGCGTGGTATCTCGTTCGATCGCGACCTACGAAACTCCTCTTGTGGCGTTTTGCTAGATCGTCAAACGGAAAAGTCGAATCGAGCGATTCGAGTTTATTGACACGTTAAAGATCCACTTATAAAAGTACCGTGTAATGCGTAGCGTATGTAACCAATTTCCCCCTAAAATTATAGATGCAGATGGTTAAGTAGTAAGAAAATCTTATTAACGTTATTTTATAAGTTAGTCTGCACTATAACTAAATCTGCACAAGTATTTAGAAAATACATGGAACGTTCGTGTCAGTGTCACCTCTCGTAGTCGGTGGAACTGGCAAGGGGCGGATAAGGGTAAAGAGACAGGGCGGGCAAATGGAAGCATCGATAACAGGACACGTCTTTGCTCCTTTCTTCCTTTCCTCGTAATTTAGATCAACGATCCGAGGTACTCTTACTGCTCCGAAGTTAATCTTTTTTTTACCGACTGGCTGCCTTGAAATTCTTTAAACGTGTTCGTTAAATTGGATGTTCTATTATCGATATTTTATTAACGAGCCACCAAATTTTCTGAAGAATTATTCCAAAAATAGTAAATTAGATTTATCACGGAAATATGTTCAAGAAAAATGTATAATCGTAAATCAGAATCACGTTGAAATGTGACTGATAGACTGTGGATATTTGTGGCATATGAAAAGAGATAAACTTTACGTTACATAAAAGAGAAAATATTGCATAAAAATATATATTTACACAAACATCCGCAGTCCAATGACTGTTGGATTCATGAAATATACTTTTTCCTTCGCGTCCTAATTGGTTTCATTCATTTATCTCCGTTAGAGTGGATTTTAGAAAAATTGAAGCGTTATTTTAACGTTACGAGAAAAGCTTAAATTGTACCAAAGATTGCATTATAAATAACATTATCAGCGATTGTACCAATATCACGTTATAAAAGAAAATCAGTAGATGTGCTTCATTAAGTTATTTAGCATTAAGAATGCAGATTATTCTACGAACGGGGTACCGTAGAAGAAATAACAGCTCGGGGCGTCAGGCATTTTAAGAAATATTGTAATGTGGCTCTTTAGGAACGTCAGATAACAATTTCAATCTTTCGAAATCCAATAACTCGTTATCGGGCCGCTGTAAATGGAAGTAATTCCGTCGCTCTGAAATCCTCGCGAGCTTCCCATCGGTTGCTCTCTTTCCATCCCTCTCCTACTCTTCTGTATCCTTTCCTTTTTTTCCGCAACCCCTACCAACCCGCCAGGTCGGGGTTGCGCAAAGAAAATCGAGTACACTGGAAACGAATGCTTACAAATCCCGTTCTTAACGAACAAAAACTGTCAACGACAGTCTGCGTGGAAGTTATTTTCGTCCGCGAGTGGAGTTCGTTAACAGAGAAACCTGTGGCGGCTCGCGTAGAAAACCGTCACGGTCCGCGTGTATACAGTTATAATTTCATTTCCGCGTTGGCCTTAATTGTTTTCTCCCCTTTAGCCCACGGATGAACCTGTTTCTTCGTCTGTTCTTCGCCATTAACCTGTTAACCGGAGATTACGAGTTAGCTCGTCATTGGAAAGTACCGCGGTCCACAAGTGATTTTCATCTTTGCGATTTTGCACGAATTAATTAGCTTTTTCGTCCCAATATCAACATAGCTTACGCCGACGAAGAATCAAGTGTTGGGTCTTTCGGATCCAAACACAATGATTGGCAAGCCACACGAGTGGACGATTTATCCATACCTGGCGCCACTTGGAGGGTGGTGGCTGCTGGGGAGTGGATTTTATTTTTAGCGCAATTGCGGCCATGAACGGTATAAGCGAAAACTTAGGATCGGCAGAACGGATTTTCAACCCCACTAGGCTTACTTAATGATCTATTAATGAGCTGTTATGAAATATAGCATTTTCTACTACTAGTGAGAGATAAATAAACTCTTCGGGTAACAGGTTAAAGATCAAACCGGGCACCCTAAAATGGATGCTGTTCGTCATTTCGTACGGATCGAATTAATTTTATTTACATTTCTTTGCAAGTTCATTCTAGCTTATACACTACTTTAAGGATGAAACCGATAGGGTGAAGCATAGAGGGTAAAAAAGAGATGGTGGTTGTGGAAGCGTTTCTTTCTCGGCTGAAAATATCGAAGGGTAGAGACTAGGTGTGAGATAGCTTCCAGTAAATTCTGTTCGTACGATGATTTCAGTCGCGAATTTTCCGGTTGAATAACTCGTGGCTGTTTCTAATTAGAGGGTGGACATTGATTCGTTGAGATCCGTTTAAAATTTGACGAAATTTCTTGCCGGGTCATCCTTGGAGACATAAAGCGTTGGTTCTTTCAACAGTGCCAATCGTTTCTTACGTATATGAATGAAACTAAATGCGTAAAGAACAGCGGTTAGCGGTGAGTTGGCAGTAACACCGATATGGTGGCCGATGCTTCCTCGTCTTCGAATCCGTAAAGTCCGAACACGCAGGTCCAACGACCTATATCCTTTTCGGTGTCGCAGTCTGAAAGGAAGATCAACCGGTATGAGAAACTTTCGAGATTCTTTCTTTTCTTTCCCGGTCTCTCGAGCAGGGAGTATGAAACGGTCAATGAAAAGTTTCGCCACGTGGAAATTCGAATTTCCAACCGGTCCAAGAAGGACAGACCGGGAGTTAAGTGACCTGCAGTTCGTACTTTATGCTTCCGGGAAATCGATTCTCTTCCAACGTGTTCGCGTATATCAAACGGTAGTTGGTATTCCGCCACGTCGAAAGGAAGAAGTTTCCACGGGGCGAAACGAAATTGGTGATTCTTTGTAAGCGATGTTGCGTTTCGTTTGGTAAGAATCTACAAATTGAAGCCACTTTGGTATTCGTTCTGCGTGGGATATACTTTTGCCTCTCTTCTTACCCTCTGATTTCCGAACAAACGTACACGCCCTTCGGATTATCCGCGAACAGACAAAGCGGAAAAAGTCAAATGATATTTGGCGATAGAGACATAAGCAGATTGAAAGCAGGTGTAATTATCACAGGGGAACGATCGTTTTAATCGTCATCTCTTAACCGAGCCAAAGAAACAATGGCTTTCGCGATTCTCAGCCAAAGGGAAACGCTGCTTTCTCTCCCTGTTTTCGTCAAAACGATTACAATTACGGATAATTAACGTCGACGGGAATGTTCGTATAAAAACAGCCGATTCCGATATAGCGTCGAACGCGATGAAATTTTGGTTGCACAGAGTTGCAGATTAATACAGTAAAAGCACTCGAACGCGTATTAATATCTTGTAACGGGGACTAGGGTTTAATTTATCAGGTAATTTTCGACGAAATGCAACGACGAGACCGGGATGATCTGTACCCGTGAAGTTACATGAACTTAATTGAAAACGCGCACAGTGTGAGAGAGCGTCGTTGAATATGCAAATGTGCGAGAAACGTCGAACCAACCGGATTTGCGAGCACTTTTATTTATGTAGTATAAAATGAGGAACGCTGTTAACATTTATCACAGTTATTTCGCCAGGATCACGATATGAAACATTGCAGCTACTAATTCAATTATTTCAAACGAACTTTATCACCTCTTTTTTTTTCCTCTTTGTTTGAGTAACGTTTATGGAATGAAAGATTTTATTATTTCGTTACTTATGCTCCTCTTTGTGATTGATTAATTTGTCAAATGTACCCGATAGCGAACAGAGAATGGGAACTGAACAGGATTCGTTTCATTATATGATAATTCTTGCAAGACATCTTTCAATCGAACAGAATCGATGTGCTCTCTAATTGATCGCTGTTCGCAGTTAATCTGACTAGTGTAACCTGTTTTGCATCCCAATTACGTCGACTTTGGCGCATTAGCGGACACGTTAGCACACAGCACAAATCACTTACCTGCAATCATTAATTTGCATCCGGTGTTACTACGGTTGGTCGTGTATCGGGGACCTAAGCTGTGGTGTATTCCGTGTCCATCCGGACGGACCCAACGACAATAACGAATATTTTTATCAGTTATATTTGGAAGTATATTACAGGACAAGATTGTATCCTCTTCGTAGTTAGCCACTAACTCTGTACGTTCTGGGATAACGTAGCTTTCTATAAGTTAAAGAACGTAAATAAGAAAGAATGGAATAAATAAATTTAACAATAATATTGCCTCGGAGGGAATGCAGATTTTACACTGGGAAGTAAAATTTTTTATCTAGCGACATTAAACAGTTTTGTCAAATTTTACCTGTTACGTTTACGAGGACCGTTTTACTCTCCTCCGGGCCGTTAACAATGCCTACGTTACAAGTCCATTCACCATGATCCGTGTAAGAAGCACCGTCAATTCCAGCGACACACTCGCCAAAATTAAATCCCGATCCTGTATACAAGAGGTTCGTAGGGGATTGCCTTCGATTTGGAATAACAGTGTAAAATGTTCCATTAGGGCTTCGGAACCAGCAGTAATCCAAAACCGCATCCACGGTGCATTTAATCTGAGAAAGACGTAATCATTTGATTAATTGGCATTTGATAAAATAGATAGAAATAATAGAGTAAAAGGTTAACTACGGAAAATGTGACACCGGCCGTCAAAGTGTTAGAATAAAAATTAAAATTAAAATCACCTCAAAGAAATCGTTGCGCTTCACGTACACATTTTCTGTAACAATATGAAATTCTCTGGTGGCATTTTGTGTTTCGTTTGTACTCATTATACGTGGATCAACGTAAATTATCGAACCGCGGTATTTACGATCTTGTAATTTTACATTACACTTCCAAGCTCCGTAATCATGTTGTTTTGGTTCATGGATAATCAAACCACAGTATATATTATTTGCCTCGAAAGTATTAAAGCTACTGTAACTATTGAAAAAAGAAAAAAAAATGAGGATTAATTATCATTTTCATAATGGTAGTCAACTCGTTAACAAAAACGCTCGTGAAACACGTGGAAAAATTGGACGGATCGTCCGTTCGACAGGTGGAGCTAGTTATTTTTCATTTGTAGATCAGATTAACGTTGCGTTTCGCGTCGGTACATCGATGATCGATCCGTAATTATCGCCGTATTGTAAAGCACTTAGCCTTTATGACTACAACGGAGTGCATAACCATTCGAATTTTTAAAAGCCAGGAACTCTCGTGTAAAACCGTTTGTTCCGGTAAATAATAGTGCATGTGGCAATAAATAAACCCGAGGGGAGGGGGCTGGTTGTTCACGGTGGTACGTAATATAACGGCTGTACTATTGTACGATACTACGCAGGGACTACGTGACACCAAGCGAATAAAAGAAGTAAAAAAGGGAAATTCACATGTGGAATAGGAAACAGTAAATATGTACGAATGACAAAAAAAAAAGATAATTAACTCATAATGGAAGATTCGTAATGGAATCAGAGTCGTTATAATTAACGCGGTAAGGATAACGCGGTCTCGGGATAACGAGCTCTTTATATTTTAAATGAATCACTTCCTTTATCGGCGCTAGTCGATTGTTTTTTCTTCACCTACCCCTCTGTTCCGATGCCGTTCCTCAAGTTCAATACATATTCATCTGGTCTAACGAAGTGACAGAACCTAAACGACATTGGAACTTGGTCATAAATGTGACAGGACAGCTGAATTTCGTTATTTTCTGTCACAATAACGTTGCTATCAGAATTTACCGGATCTGCAAATGTATTTGACATCATCGAACTTAGGTGATGAAGTTACAAAATCTGTATTTTCGTCGCAACAAGCTTACCACGTGTAACAACCCTGAAGCGTTGAACAGTAGGAACTGGATGTTCCATTCCGCCGTAACGCGCGATCCAGACACCTTGGTGACGAGGTGTAACTACGGGTATGTGGTAGTCACAGGAGTCAAGAAAAGGTGTTTTTAAACCCATTGGATCTTCCAGTTGACAAAAGATAATCGTTCTGTACACAGGTAAGCTCACGGTGCCGCTTGTGCCAAGATTTAGCGTGATAGTTATTTCCTAAATCAATGTCAATAGAGAGTAAAGATGATCAAGTATTAACAAATAAAATGCATCGCAACTTTGATTCAATCATTTGTAATACCGGAATATAGAGTCATCGAAAAATAGGCTGGAGTTGAATTAAAAGTAGACGACAATAAATCGACGGTTTCTCCACGTACAGAATTCGAGGTCTCGTATAGATAATCGATACTTCCTGAGTATCTATAATCTTCGATTAATTCTATGTAGTGTTTACCGAAACCAAATACAGCGAAGCAGCAGGTATCGAAATCGAGAACATTGCTGCTACGTCTAATGATAATTATGCGATTAGTAATTTACTTTAGGCAGCTACCTTCGTGTCGTAAACTTATTAAGCCCCTCGAATTCTGATCGCAATTACCTATGAAACCGATCATTTCTAGTACGAATAGGAGTGTGTTAATTACTAAAGGACAATATAGGGAACGAACCAAAATGTTGTATTCAAGTTCATCGCGTACGTATATTGATACCACTAAGATACGACTAATCTTATCGCCTTGCAAATGGCGATAAATATACCGACTAGATTAATTAGCAAAAGGTTCTGAAATTAAGTAATTTTGTTTTGAATACTCGATTTAGCAAAGGGACTTACTTCTTCTGTCTTTTTTTCTTTGTTGAAGACATTTACATCGACGCCGCCAGTGTAAAAAATCTTATCTTCTTCGACGAATGCTTTGAGTTTCCATATATTTTGACTCTTATCATTCACCAAAGCTCGAAATCCGCACCGTCCGAATCTTTGCAAATTCTTTGTGCCATCGTTCAGTAGATCGATCTCCTGAGACTATGATTGTTAAATTACTTAAAGCAATTTCCTTAGGTATGTTTAAGCATTTCAACGAGACACCACTATGAATAGTAAATGTTTCCATCTCGGGAAAGATATATTTAGAAGTAAAATATGTTACAAAGTTTGGCAATCTACTTTTCTGTTATTTTGTATATTCCATTTGTTTCCAAAAGTACATTTAGATTACCAAATATCGGTTCATAGCAAAGACATTCAAATTTTGTAGCAGAAATTATTTCTTAAACGATCAACTGATTTTCAACAAGTTACGAAAGGTGAGAGAAATCATTTTTAATACTAGAATAGAATTGGAAAAAAATAAATAAAAATCACATACGGTCGGAGTAAGCAGTGTGCAATTTGTGACATTTTTTCCATTCAAATCAAGCTCGGCATGAACAAAATAATCGGTGTTTATCCATATATAGTCAGGTATCACTCTGGTTTCCTATAAAATAGAATTCGTATAAACATCACTATTTCACGTATCTGTTTACGATCAAAAGATTATCACTATTAACGGATCATCTTATATTTAGAATATCTGTTTTACACTTATTAGACGTACGCCAGATTCATCAGACGTTATTTGAGAGATCAAAGAATTTTCTTGATGCTACTTCATAAATTTTTATCACTTTTTCAAGTGCGTAAGACGGTACCTTTTTTACAATTATCTTGAATTTATTCGTAACAGGTGGATGGTTATCCTCTTGAAAATACGATGTTATTTTCCATTCACCGGCGAATTCCGCACTCGGTAAATACAGAAGGACGCTACAATCGAGATAATTTGCGATGATAGTAACATTTCTATCACCTATTGAACCGGCACCAGGGCTAAACTTATATTTGTCACCAATGTTCGTTTCCATTACACATTTTTTAATTTCTCCGAGGACTTCAGTACTCGCAGAAAGTTTCACTGACCTACGTAGTTCTCCGTATATCACAACATCTGAAATTACGAAATTTGATTTGAAACAGTGCCTTCGATAATCTTGTAACCGATTTCCCGTGCAACTTCGTCCAGTTTAAGCATGAATACTCGTTCTCGAACCGAATACACGATTTGTAGCTGGATTTCGTTGCTTTACGTTTCGAAAGATGAACACAATCAATTTTAGGTTGAGCGAAAGGAGAAGGCAGCGAAGGGACGTTTCGAGTCGTAGAGGGATGAAGGGAGGACATGTACGGTCTAACAGAGAAAGGGTGGGACCCAGGAAGAACTATAAATCTTACCCGAAATGCCGGATTGTACGATCAGAAGAGTCGCGAAAATGGTGAACCATGTCATATTGTGCTTGTACCTGTGAACTTTCTGAAACAACCATCGAGCGAACAGCCTTTTTATACCGCGATAAGAATTATCGCGTTATTTGTCCACAAAGTGTAATCTGTTAGTGTAAGATAATCTGAAAAAATGTCTAATATCAGCGAATTTCAAACATTTTACTAAGAATCAAATCTGCAATTAAAATTAGAATTTCAGTTAAAAAATATTCGTCGACGAAAATTTGATTTTTCTAATCGACCGATATCGAATGACAGCGTTCTTCACGGAAGAATAGAAACGCGAGTCCCGCAGGTGGAAATCATTGGTGCGTTAACGACGATCGATTATTCGTTCGCTGAAAAATACGATCGGATTCGTGAAAATCCGGCATAGAAACGTATCGTGGAAGCGTGACGGACGCGTAGGTGGGTAGCAAGGAAATCCTGGAAATCATTTCCCCTCTCAATACGTGCGGTCGTGCACAGAGGGAAGAAGTAACCGGATTATCGTCAGCGTAAGAGGTGTATCCGGGACGGGCACGGTATCGAAACGGTCTCGCGTTCTTGTGAAGTCGGAAAAGCCCATTTCGATGTCCCTTGTGCCATCAGGCAATCCCATTTGAGATTAGACGCAGGCGTGAATTGTGTTACCTCCGAGTTTGAGCGGATCAAAGGCAAATTCCCGGTTGGGATGCATACGTACGTAATTGATATGCCTGATGGGGGTTTCCAAGTCGGATAGTCAATTACCATAATCTTGTTGCGGGGAGAGAGGCCAGTCACTGGCCATGCCGATTCCATACACCACGCTTGTATACATTGGGGGATATCAATTCGATTTCGCGATACGAAAGAAACCGCGGATTGTGTACTCATCCTTCCTGACCAATGTTATTAGATTTCAAAGTGTACAGTCTGTTCAGCGACGAAATCGACAATCTTCGTCGGTATATTCAGAACGTTATTCCAAGTAAAAAATGTTCTATACACTATTAGTTGATTCGTCGTCGCTTCTGAAACGCAGAAGGTGTATTGATACATGGTATTCAAAATGAAGATTTTACATAATTAAGCGTTACAATTTTCTAGCGAACCTACATGATCATTGTCTGGCCCGAAAATGCCTGTCTCGCGTTTACAATAAAACAGAGATAAATCGACTATTTGAAAGGTCAAGACGTTTCGATTTTTAATACGATTTGGTAAGAGTCACGAACAACAGTACAGAAAACGCGTACTTACTCTGTGAAGATGAATTAAACGCGTAGAGTAAGATCGGTAACATATTTCCCTTGGAAATGGTCGTAATCGTTATCCGAAGAACGTTGGACTCGGTAGTTTTTCGGTGATTCCACGCACATGTTGCTCGCGAGGGAAGGGTCCGTTTTAGAAACACTGAGGGTTGATTTATCGGGAAATTTCTTCTCGCTGCGATCGTAAATAATATAATGCGCCATTTATATAACTTGCAATTTACAAGGAAGCTGCTCGAACGCATTATGCACAAGCGTTTCTAATGAGTTTCAAGCGAAATGCAACGGTTCAAAGGGTGCAGAGAAGAGTTTCCTGCGATTAGCAATGATAAGTCGGTATCATTAATTATACCATTCTCTTTGTGTCTTTTCGAACCATAATTTTGCCTGTCACACTGAAAGTATGATTCGATCTACGCGAAGAAAAAAGATGTATTATTCCCTTAAAAAATAAATTTGCCTTTCATATCTTCTCCGCGTATCTGTCTATTAGAAATATAAATAAGTTTGATCTTGCGTCTCTTTTTATATTCTCCATCCCTATTTCATTAATTTTTCGACTTTACTTTTAATTTAAATTTAAAGACAGATATGCGTCCATCATCGTTTGTTCAAGTGTTAAATCTCAACATAACATCCGCCTACTTAAATGTGTATCCGCGTGCACTTTATCGTACGCGCTCCTTACCTATGAATCCCTATTAGCTGTATTAAATACGACCAGCCATTTATCAGGGGATATAATAGAGACGTTACTTTCGCGCCATATGCCGTCTCCATACAATAAATAGGCGCACAGTTAAATGACCGTAGCGTGCAATATGTCCTGAAACGCGACAAATAGCAAGGAAAACGGTTTGCGGAATACACACAGTTTATATTTACAATAGGACAATGCACTTTTGTTGGGGAGGGAGGGGTGAGAGTGGCAGTTGTGGTCGCAACGATGAAAGGACACGTTTGGGCATCGACGATTCCATTCGATCGAATTCTGTCTTTTTCTCACAATATTAACGATACCACAGAGCTACATCACGTAATTATCACTTGAATACTTCGCAGTTGCATGAAAAGATTTTAAAACGTTGCAATTATTGATAAAATTTTCCACTATCATCGTGCAACATTATGTTATCTTTTACGCATCCGCTACCTAGATGCACCGTACATCCTGTTGTATATCGAATTATTCACTATCGTAGGGGAGACCGGGAACAAAAGTAACATTTTTCATTTTTGGCATTATTACCAGTGAGTATTAAGAGTGAATTTGAAAAAAGTTATACCTACATGTAGCCCATATATTCCTCTATAAATGCACACTGGTTCAAGTTTCATGTAAGCAATATATTAGGCAGCCATAAACGTTGTCCGTAGATATGACAAGTGTTACTTTCGTCCTGAACAGGACATAAGGAATTAGATACCAATGCAACACATGTTATACAAAGTTTTATTATAATATTATGTTATATAATATTATAGGAACTTTGTTAATTTGTTATCAAAACTTATCCCAAAGACAAGTTTTAACTTTTAACAGCTTACATAAATAAAACATGATTATAAAGTCTACAAACAACTTATGAAATACCATTCAGTCGAAGTACAGTCTTCGAGACCAACCCTTACATTTCATGCATTAAAACGTGTTACTTTCGTCCCCGAGACAACGTGTTACTTTTGTCTCCAACCACGTTTTTTAAGTTTGAAAATTAATAATTTGGAAAGTATATCGACGGTATCTAAATCAAAAATCTGGTTAGGTTAATGCACTATTTAAGAATACATATGTAGACACCTGTTTGCCTCAGAATCTCGGCATTGCCTATCGTTTATTACAAAAAACTTGAAAGGAGAAAAACTTAATTGGTGGCTATTAAATCACAAAGGTTAAGTTAACAAAAGCAGTTCAGGCGGTAACTTGGCGTCGACTGACTATAGTGATAAATCTTCCTGAGGACATTACATGTGGACTGAGGGGGGATTTCTTACTTTCATTACGTGTTACTATACATTACAGATAGCAAATGTTATGTAAATATTATTTTTTTAACTATTATAGAAAGAGCAAAAATGTAATATAGTGCTTTATCTCGCAGGAAGTTTTCGCTAAACTCGCTCTTTTCTCCGCGATTGTTGTTGTTTATTGTCAGAAAGATTTTATTCTGCTGTTAAAACAAGGGGATGTGTAATTGAACCGATAGAACAACGGCAGTCGTGCCGTCAGAATTTTAAGCGCAATTGCGCGCTGATAACGCGATTCAGGAAATGGGAGTCGGACGCGACTCGTGATACGGGTTAATAGGAAAGTATCCCGTATTTCGGACCCGTTCGTGAATTAGAGGGATCCAGATCTAACATTCTATTTGCGTTCACCGAATGAAAAACATCGTGAATTCGCAATCGTGGTGGTTAACCGGTTATCAGCGCTGTTATCAATGAAAAATTATAAATGACGCATTGCTTTAAATACATTATTTGAAATAAAATTGAAACGCGTTGCTATTTACAACGTTTCCAAGTATTATAATTTCACCCAGGTTCATTCAAAGTTCCCATTCGAAACCATGTGTTTTTAAAATATTTTTATTGCACAAAGCGTACGAGTACAAAGCAATCAAGAAGGTGTCTGTGGATGAGTGCTCAAGGTAGCCGCGTTAATTCTAATCCCGCTAAACGTCCGGTCGCCCTATCATGCACGGGTCCTCGCTAATTTGCACAATAATGGTGTAATTCCAGCGTCAGGAAGATAGTGGCCAGTAGCGTGTCGCCTTCGTGCTGGCGATACACGACCACCGTACGTTCGATAAACACGCCCTCGCAACACCGTGTATAAACACTTTGCGCGGACGTGTTTGTGGGGAAGAGAGGCAGGGTTCGCAAGGGCTAAAGCGGAAAGGGAGCGGGCTGAGAGCAAAGGATCGAGGCAGAACCAATTAGCAGCACGGGGTTGAACTGGGTACAGGTTAGGGTAAGGTAGAATTAGAGAAAGCGGTTAAATGAAAATGTTAAGGGACGAACTTAGAATGGAAATGGGTAAAGGGAACGAAGAGATAAAGCGACGAAGAAAGGGGAAGAAAAAGTAGGAAATGGAACAACCGTGAATGTAGAATGAAAGACTGAAGAGCTCTATGATAATTAGCATGTTAATATTAAAAATTTTTATGGCTATTTACAGAAAGTGAACAATTTGAGAGAACTGAAATTGAAAAGGAAGAAAAATGCAAATGGTTCAGTGGCGAATAAGCGAGAGACAAGAGAAATAGAAGAATCGAGGAGATAGTGGAAAAGATGGAGAGTGTCGTTTGAAAACGAATGCGTATCCTGTATAGGTAGGCCAACAACGGCTGGTCGATCGCGATTTAAAGCTACGTTGCTGCAAACACCGCTGCAAGCTCGTGTTATCGACCGTGTGTAATTCGGCTGGGCTATGTTTATCGTGCAACGAACACCAGCCACCGTACGATAGTTGTTTAAACGTTACGTAAGGTACTGTCGCGATTAACGCAGCTTTTGATAGGAACGCAAGCTCACGAATTCGGCCAGATTTTATCATCGACTCTCGATATTCACAGCGATTACTTGTATTTAGTATTCCTGTCTTCGTATACATCACGATATTCAACCAATAACATCGATCTAGATCTTAGTGCACGTGAAATATCGTAGTGACACAATTAAGAAAAGTAAATTTTTCAGTAAATTGGTTTGAAACTATCAGCTAAATTAATATTTCTTTATAATTATTACTTACATTTGAAATATCTTAAGATTTTCCATTATTTTTCCCGCAATATACAGACTTGATTCCATTTCTTTCTTTGTAATACCTTTACATAATGATCGCTTTAGCAACTTGTTCCATCAACGAGACATCCTGCGTT